AAGGCCTGCCATCCATGAAAAGATGAACGGCATCATCCGTCCAGTCAAAATCAATCGAATGAGAAAGCGAAGCACTTCTTGAGCAAGTTGGAAGCCCGCCTCGGCGACCCGTGCGGCGATCTGCTGCATTACCTGCTTGGCTCGCGCCAAGCGAGCCCATAAAGCAGACCTCAGCGCTCCAGCCCCGTCACAGACATTGGAAAGCGCCATAAAGACTTGGGTAACCCTTGGACAAAGTCTGAGCCCGGCCTATGAACGAGAGCTGGCCCAAGCCAAGCTGCCACGCGAACACACCCTCCCCAACGTTTGACCAGGCGGCTGCTCTTTGTTGAGGCCATCCCTCAAGTGCTTCAGCTGCTTGGCCTGACATCCGCTCGCACAGCGCTCTCGGTTCTCGTGTGTCGTTCTCTCTTGTCTCCTCCTGGTTGAACTGTCTTTTCTCAGTATTCCTCCTTCCTTCTTGTCCGTGTCTGCCTCTTGCTCTATCTCTTCTCTCTCCCTCAATCGTCAATCTTCCCGTTTCTCTGTCTCTGTTGCTACCTCTCTCTCACTCTGTCTCTCTCGATCTCTCGTTATCTACGTTCATCTGTTTTCGGTGTCAGACTGTTCTCTATGCTGTTCTCTATGGTCTCTGCGTGTTTCGTTTTTGTTCTCTTAGCCTCACTTTAACTCTCATTCAGACTCAGTCAGTTGTTCTCTTTATTTCTGCATTTCTGCTTTCCTGTGTTTTTGCTTCCCTGCTTGTTCTGTCTCTCGCAATCTCTCTCTCTCTCGCTCTCGCTCTTTCTCTTGCTCGCTTTTTCGCTGTAATGTTCTAGCTTTCTCTCTCTTTCCCTTTCTGTTTCACTGTCTCTTTCGCTTCTGCTTTGGCTTCCTCTCCCCCGCTCGCTCGCTCACACACTCGCTCACGCGGCGTACGCACCCCTTCACTAAGCACCGCGGCCTGAATTGGGTGCCAACGCCTCAAGATCTTTCGTTTTCTCCGAGTATCTGGCGGGTAGCAACCAGCGCAGGGCTGCCATTTCGGCCAGCGCCCTCGGAGAGTACGTCAGATGGCCCAGCGCGCCTGGCCGCAGTCCACTGCCCTAAGCAGCGGGCGGACGGCGCGTCTGGCCTGCAGCAACTTTCTTGCCACAAGTTGGCCAAGTTGGTCCTAGCGGAATTTGGTGATAGCCGCGCGCTGCCACGCATCCCGCTTCATGCTAGAGTACTCAGGCGCGACACACCTCTTCCTGTCTTGGTTTGGACACTTGTGCGTGAAGAGGGCCGCCTGCACTTGTTTTAGTATGCCACACAAAGTCCTGCTGCCCACGTCATTCAGATATATGTTGGCTTTCGGCCCTCGGGGCGGCCCCGCTACTATGGGAGCCGACGCGCTCCGCTGATATGGACAGCTTGAGGGCCAGCCCGGTCCTAAATCAGCGATCCCGCACTTTACTGACTTCAACGCATTCCTTTCTTGAAGCTGCCTTGCCCGAGGGTTGCCACGGGGGGGGGGCTCTGCTCGCTCGCTCTTTGCTCCAACTTGGCTGCAGTGGCCGAGCAAATGTTGCGCCAGGCATCACTACATCTGACTGGCACGTTAAGTTTGAGGGCGTCCAACGAGAGCCTCTGCACGAAGTGGAGACGTTAGCTTCTTGTCCTATGTGGCGACGTTAGCTCTGGAGTGCTCGCCCTTGCCCCCTAGAAGCCCAGCAGGCGGGCGAGCGCGCCCGCAGCACGCCAGGCCACGGCAACTTGCGCGATGCCACACCTCGAGGCGGAGCTCCATTGCTTCTTGGACTTGAAGCATTCGGTTCTGGCATGCTTCAATCTTCAGTGAGTCTATGCCTCGTTTTGCTTCGCACTGAAACTTGTTCCTGAAACGGGAACTTGGAGCGCTAGCTGTTCTCCTGACAGCTTTGGTCAGATTACTGGGCAGGCTTCTGCGGGCTAATCTCAGCTGTTGTCTCTCTCGTTCTGTTCTAGTGAACTTCATTCCCTGTCTCACGCTCTCTATCTCTCTATCTGTGTATCTTGTTGTCTCACTTCTCTCTCCCTCTCTCGCCACTCTTTCTGACTTGTCTCGCTCAGAACTCCTCTCTTCGTTTCTCTATTGTCTTTTTGTCTGTTTGCTTTATTATATCTCTTGTTCCTTGATTCTGTCATTGTTTCCTTGACCTTTCCTTCTATCTGGTTTGTTGTCTCGTTTCTGTGCTGTTTTGCTTTCCTCTTTCCTCTCCTTTCCTCTGCTTTCCTCGCCCTTCCTCCTCTTTCCCCTCTATTTCCTCTCCCCCCCCCCCCGTACGCGGCCAGGCCACATGCTCAAACTGGTACGCGGCTGTGGCTTCCGACATCGCCCTGATGGATGCCACCTGCAGGGCCGGGCGGAGAACCTTTCCCACATCACACGTCGCGCACCCCGCCTTGGCTTGCAGGACGTCTGCCAGCGGTAGCTCGTGATCTTGTAGCATGCAACCTGGGAGGGCATCAACGATGATCGAGAAAAAGGCGGTGATTGATCCAGGCAGGTGACTGTTCAGGTGGGTACGCACAAGGTTCAAGCCGGTGGTTGTCTCAAAGTCCTGCACGCAAAGAGATCGGCTTTCAGGCATCAAGTTTGCGAAAAGCAAGTGCCGGAGCTGTGCCGCCCGCTCCTCTGTGAAGAATCCAGGGGTCTCCCTTGCTTGGGCAAGCCTAGCAGGAGCGCAAAGGGCCCCATTGAAACCTTCGACCCATGGCCTCGCTCTGCCTTCCTTAGCCTGGCACACGGCGCTTCGGCCTGCGCAGCCGAAGCGGCGGAACCGGGCGCCGCTTCCAGGCCCTCTCGCGGTGTCACGCATCCATGCCTGCGCTTTCCTGGCGTGAAAACAGCAAAGACATGTCTTCCCAGCAAAAGCAAAGCGAGTCAATACTCAGCCAGTGAGACCTCGGTCACTGGTGCGGGGGTAGGTGCGGCAGGCGCCGGTGCGGCAGGTGCGGCAGGTGTGAAAGGTGTGGCAGGTGTGGCAGCGGGTGCGGCAGGTTCTAGCGAAGCCGACAGTGAGGTGGATGTCAACTGCACATGATGCACGTCCACAAGGCCCCCTCCTCAACCACGCAAAAACTCTGCAAGCTGTGCCTCTGGCATCTTTGGCCTCAAAGATTGCACTGTCCCCTCCCATGCCCGTCTAAGCTTATGTGGTTTGCATTCAGGCAGGAAGGGCCGGGTGCCAAAGCCGAAACAACAATGTTAGCCAAGAAGCTCGACGTCTGTCCATGGGTTGTTTGCATCCTGCGCCTCTTGGCTTTCATAAGGGTCCACCACCTGAGGCAGCTTGGTCACAGTCATATCAATGATTACTGCCATGTAGGCGCATCAAGTGTGCTTACACCCCCCCCCCCCGCCCCCCGCCGCCACTGCTATGCGCAGCTGTTTCTCCTCTCTGTGCACGCGTGCCGCGCTTCTGCTCCAGAAACCTTTTGCAACAATGAGACTGCTATCAAACTAAAGCATTGGCATTTTGGCATTGTCCGTCACAGGTATGGTGAGGACATTTGACGCATGCTGGACAGCACCTCCTCCAAGCCTAGCATCCCGCATGCTCGACTATGCGTGTCCGATGAATTCCTGGACTCCAACGCGCCACATCAGCAGCCACCCTCCCGGAAAAATGCCGGCACCGGCCACAGGCCATCTGCGCCCTGGACTTTGGGCTTCCACACCAGGCGCGCCGCACGACTCCTGGCAGGGCTTGGCTGCCTTGAAGGAGCCGCTAGCTCGTCTCTGCCAGTCGGTCTGCTCTTCTGTCTCTCGGACACGATGCCCTGCATGGCCAAGCCAAACAAACTGCGGCATTTGGGAGCCTTGGGGCTCAGCACAAACTCTTGAGGCTCGGCCGGCACACTCTGATTGCCTGAGACCCCTGGAAGGAAGGCGTACATGGCCTCTAAGTCATCGTCTTCAAAAGGCTTGTGCGCATTCACCGGCGCTTCCAAGAGAATGGGCTGGCTCAGCGGGCTCGGCGGCTGTGCCGCCAGCTCCTGAGCAAGATGCTAAGAACTCAAGCTCACATGAACCCGTGCCCTCCCTGGCGCGCAAACCGTATGTCAACAAAAAACATGCCATGCTACAACCACCAAGTGGACAACACCTTTGTCGATCGGCCCCTGCCATATCATCATGAGACAGCCAGGAATCGGGCGTGCTCTCCATTGGGTAATTTTTTCTTTCCATGGCGATGCTCTCCATGGCGGGCCAAAGGCGATAAAACCGGAGGGACCTACCAGTGTTGCGCCGCACGTCCTGGCCTTTCGGAGCCCTGATGCGAAACGGCAACATCGTGGTTCGTTGCAGCATTGCGCATCCCATCCCGTTCCATTGACCTGACTTGAAGTCAAAAGACCAAGTCCGGGACATTAAGCATGCCCGGACTCCACTCATCACTGATTCGCGAGGTTTGACTACCAACCTGCAGGCACACAGTGGCATACGCGCATACTCTCGCTTATTCATGCACTCGTCTTCTTGCAGCAGAATGACAAGTGCCGCCCTCTGCTTTGCAGGATCGATGGCGTCGAAGTCTTCATCCTCGCCTTTCGGGTAAGAATTCATGGCTGATAAAGGCACGGGGCGAGCCTTGAGCTTTTGAGCCACAGCATGGCAGGAATGATTTCCTTAGCTAGGAAAATGCAGCCCTCTGCCTGGATTGGGACCGGTGCGGTCACGACTTGTGCCCAAGCGGCTTTTTCGGCCCGACCATCAACGCAGGACCTGAACCAAGAACCCAGCAGCTTCTACTCTGAGTCCCGACTGGATGCACTGAGCCCAGTGCTGGTCCACGCGCTGTGGCGGGAGAGTGGAAGATAATAACCGAGCCACTAAGAAACGGCAACTATGCAGCGGCCAGCGCATTGCGGGGATGCATCTTGGAACGCTGCCCCCTCCCCCCCAAAGAAGTCACCAACATGCTGAAAAAAAAGGAGAAAAAAAAAAAAAAAAAAAACGAAATGGAACATGCAAACGTCGGCCAGCAGCATTCCTCGGAAGACCGCAGAGTTCCCAAGAAGTTGTCCTAGGCTGTCGCATGGCTGTCACAGGCTCTCATACGGCAAAAGTCGAGAAGTCGGCTTCTTTACTCATCTGGAAAGCTCAAGGCTTGGTGTAGACATCTGGATTCCTTATGACGGCCCTAGCTCAGTCACCCCAAGCGGTGGAGAAAAAATATCGTCAAAAGCAAAGCGCTTGAAGGCCTAATGATTTCAAATGGAAAGCTGGAGGGTATTGGAAAAGGCATCCACGGCAGTCTCAGCTTGGGTGGAAAGATCCCTGATGAAGTGCCCGCTGCAGTTGCAATATCCAGCATGTCACGATGGCCATACCACAATGAGAGTCTTGAACTGCCATCAATCACCTGCATGCCGATCACATGCCTTGCTGCCGGAGCAACACCGTGCACAAAACATACTGGCCTCGCTCGAGCTCTTGAAACCCTCCCAGATGCCCCTGTCATCTGAGGAATAAGCTGAAAATCTAACATGAGATCTGAAGACATGGTTTCAGCGTACTCCATTACACTAAAGTGGCTCATGCGAAACTACTACCCATGCGATCCGAATCAGCAAAGGATGACTGCCTCCGTTTGCGGCACAGGGAGCAGTTTCAAGGCAACCTTTTCAAGGCAACCTTTTCAAGGCAAGACTCTCGCAGCGGGTTCTTCACGAACTCTGCCTGGTCAGCCCCGTTCGCTTGTGCAACATGTGCCGCCCTGGCCTCCTTCATTCCGCCGGTGCTATCTTGGCCAGGGAGTACCTGCTAAGAGTTGCCCCGTTCGCCCTCGTCCCGCATTGGAACCAACGGCCCTGACAGCCAACCGAGGGCACATAGGCCAATGCTGCAGGCACGGACGACCACAAGAGCGCCTGTGCCAGCGGCTCCTGAGAGAAAAAGAAGCAAACAACAATCGCCAACACGCAGAGTTCCATGAGAACTGCACAGGAGTTGGCTGCTGGAAACTCACGCGGCACGCACACTGCGCCGCCCGTCCCTTTTGTCTCAATGCGATACCTCCGCCCAGCCTATGGCCAGTCGGCTGTTTGCACAAGTGAGAGGCCAAGCAACACACCACTCCAGCTGTCCATGCAGTGGCCAAAGCATGTGTTTCAGTCTTGCCTGAACCTGGCTGATGGAAAAGCAAAGCATTTGTTGCCCGTTGCCGGCAAAGCCTTGGCAATTCAGACTCGGCTGAATTTGGACCAGGCCGCTCCAGCCTTGAGACGCCAAGGGTGAGACAAAGTGATAGCCATGGGCCACGGTGCTCTTGGCGGACACCCAATGGCTTTAGGGGGCCGCATGTCAACGTGGATTTACCAAAGGGCCGGCACCTCAGGTGAGGCCCTGAACCTCTTCTAGCGCGGGGTTCTCCTGTTGCAGGGGGTCTTCACCTCAGACTGGATGCTGAAGTGAGCAACAGCCCAGGCATGAAAACTGAGCTTTCCTGCCCCCTTTTTGGGGGCCGCCTTGTGGCAAGTAAAACAACAGCTTCGGCACAAAACCGGCGGGGCGCGAGGCTTGGAGAGCGCGCAGGCAAGCTCCATGGTGAAGTCTCCCTTCTCTTCCACCTCCTGCCTCTGCTCCCGAATGCTGCTTCTCCTGACGGCTTGGATGCCCCGAGTCCGAGTGGCCCCTTGCCTCACGAAAAAGCAAGCAACCCTTGCCACATTCTAGCGTTACAAAGTCAGGGTTCCTTCAGGGCTGAGTCCTCCGGCTTCCCGCCCAGCTACGAAACAAGGTTCCAAGTCTGGCCCTGTCTGGTCCGAGCGGCAGTTTTTGCAGCCGCATTTGCAGATCCACCTCGGTTGCATCAGGCAGGCGATTGTGGTGATTTTGTTGTGCCACACGGACAGCCCAACAGTGGCAAACACTCACGATTCGGGGACCCTACAAGCCACACACATGCGAGCGGGCTCGATGACAGGTTCTCAATGTAGCTCTCATTTGAAGGTGTGGTTTTCCTGTATAATCATTGAGGGGCTCCACAACGCTTTAAGGGTGGATGAATAGTGTTGAACAAGGCCTGCCGCTTAGGGGGAGTCTGTGTTTTTGAGTTTGTGGTTTGTGTTTGTGTGTGTTTGTTGCTGTTTGCTTGTATGTGTATGTGCATGTGAATGCGTATGTGTATTTCTATGTGTGCATCTGTGCATGCAAACGTGGGCCTGCATTGTATGTGAATGTGTCGTGTGTGATTGTGTGTGTGTGTGTTTTTGTGTACGTGTGTGTGCGTGTGTGTGGGTGTGTGGGTGGGTCTGTGGGGGGCGTGACATCTGCATGTAGGTGCGCATATGGGTGTCTATGTACTTGTACGGGTCTGTGTCTTTGTCTGTGGCTACATCCGTGCCTGTGTCAGTGTCTGTGTCTGCGTCTGCGTCTGCGCCTACTTCTGGGCATATGCTTTTGCATGTGCATGATGTGGATGTGCATGTGCCCGTGCATGTGCATGTGTCTGTGCATGTGTGCATGTGCATGTGATTTTATGAGTCTGTGTCCGTCTCTTGGCATGATCACATGCGCATGCGTGCATGTCTCTTGCACATGCAAAATTTATATAGTGTGCGTGTGTGGTGGTTTCAGTGAACACTTGCGCTTGCTGCAATGGACAGTGCGTTTCAAAAAGTCTCGTCAAGTTCCTGGTTTGGTATCATGATGCGGATGTCTGAATCCTTGCGACACATCACACAACGTCCATATTGCTGATGCATCACCACTGCAAAAAGCGGATTTCAGTATAGTGGCGTGCAGTGCCGAAGTCTCGCGTTTCCCTACATTGACCAAACTCTGGCTAACTGCTGAGTGCCGCCCCTTCGGCCACTAGCTTCTTTTCAGGACCAACTGCATTACCCCTGTCACCATACCCTCACCGCCGCCCACCGACCCCATGCATGCTAATGTACATGACATGTACTTGCGCGCATGTATGCAAACCTTGGCAAGTACACATCGCAAGTCAAGCCCCTCATTCATGAATGAACGTCGCTCGGCATGTCACGGGACAAGGCGTGCGCTCACGCCATGCCTACAGTAATATCTTGCATTTGGCATGTGCAAGAACTGCCTTCGCACATGAAATTCACCCTTGGCACATTCTTTGTCAGCATGGCAATGCTGCTGTAGTCTTGGGAACTCTGGAGCTTCTAAGGGGCTACACCATTGCAATTCATGCAAAAGAGGCACAGCTTGAATACCAAACGGCATGCCTGGCAAAAACACTTCGTGACTCGTAGGCTTCCTGAGCTGTTGCTGGTCGGGCTTTATGTGGTTGCATGTAAGAAATATTCTACTTGTAAAGGGGTTGCTTGCATTTCCCTTGGGGGGTGGATCTTGGACAACCAACTCGAGCACACATGAGTCAGCATGAAACAGCAAGAGTAGACTCCTGCAGGCTGTGCGGCAAACATAATTATGCAATCTGCCAGTGTGCACTGAGCGCGCCTGCTCCTGCTCCCGCGACTGCAACTGCAGGCGCAAATGCTCCAGTTCGCCATTGCCCCGCAGTTTGTCGGGAAGATGAAAGTCCTCAGCACCCGAGTGGCTCGGTTCAATCTGCTCTTCAAGGCCGGCACACATGCCAACATGAATGGCCAAGTCGCTTCACAATCCTGTGCTCATGAATCATGCATTGCATTTACTCCGTCGAACTGGCTCCTCACGCACAAAAGAGGCGCGGAACTAATCGCCTTGCTTCCCGGGCAACATGCCGCTTCAGCCCAGTTTCCACACCCATGTGCCGCAAAGACTTCTGCACGCCACCCATGTCTTCCGACTGCTGGAACGCCTTGCAAGATGCTCATTGCTTTGTCATGGCTCTCTCTCTCTCTCTCTCTCTCTCTTTCTCTCTCAGTTGCGTCCGTCCTAGTGGGCTTCATTTTGCCCGTGCTGGCAAGCTGGCAAGCGCCGCACCGAGCCTCCCTCTCCAAGTCCATCATGAGCCGCCTTCGTCTCTCTCCCTCCTCCTTCAGCTTCTGAATTTCCACCGCTCGATCATCCTCGGCCCGTGCAAAACACATGAATGCAGACCGCGCTGTCCCCAAAGGCTCAAACAAAATCCAGAGGGCGCCCCTTGAGGCTCATGACCCACCTGGCGCCCCTGGAGTCCCCGGCCAGAAGTGAGCACAGCTGCCGCTCCAGGGCATCATCGCTGGGTGAGGTAGGCGAATCTGCCCCTATCCTGGCGCTCGGTATGGAGGAGTGCCCAGCAGGATTCAAGACGTGAGTGCCAGGGGTCCTGCTGGCGTTCATAGCAACATAACCTAGTGCATTACAGTTTGCAAGGAGCACCCAAACGAACCTCTTAGAAAGGTGCCAGTCCTTTGGGTGGTTGGCCAATTCTTGTCAGATGCTGTCCGCTTCTTCAGCATCCCCTGGCGTGCCCGTGCTGACACAATCTTCGCAAGTCGGTCGCGGCCGTCTGCACGCCTCTTTGCCTCCTTTCTCTTCGGAGGGCGGCCGCGGCTTGCGGTGGACTTCCTGCGTGGCAAAGCCTTTTGAAAGCTGCGTGCAAGCCGCCTCTGTAGGTATAGGTCCTTGACTTGCTGCAAGTTCGGCGGCGCATCGGCATGGCAAACAGTCGTGCAGAGTGCAAACATCCCAGTGCACAAGAAAGAGGAAAAGACTTTGGAGACAAGCACATGATCCCACCCACCTTCTCACGCAAGAATCCACGCACTGGGCAACATGCATGTGTATGGCAGGATTGCTGGGGTAAGTTCTGCGTAATGCTTCATCATGACTTCTTCTGCCTTCTTTGGGCCTGGATAATTGCGACATCAACCGGCCATGCAAGCGGAAACTGCCTGGCACATGCCCATCCCATCCCTTCCGCCCGTCGGTCCACAAGAACTGGGCAGTGAAAGGTGTCCAGCACCTCACAGCGCGTTTGAAAGACCCAGAGTAAAATTGGCGCAAGGTCCGAAGGCGTGGATGGCTGCTGGAACAGTTCCTTGCCCAGTGCCACCCATCGCTTCGCCGGCCAACGTCCGCCCTCGCGCCTGTCGGATCAGGAACAGCGCCACGTGGGGCGCCAGGCTCCGAACCTCGCCGCGGAGGGCCCGCCACCGATTGGACTTAACGACCCGTCTTGCAAGTTGAACTTGGGAAGGTGGGAAGGCGGCAACTGGCAACTGAAGGCATCTGGGCAGCTTCAAATTTTGAAAGGCTGGCCCGTGCTTTCCGCGCACTTGCGGGGAGTGGGGAGTGTGCCGGCTCTAAGCCCGCGGCGGGGCTCTCGTTGCTCGACCCTGATAGTCCGGCAAGAAGCACCGGCCTTGCTCACAGTGCAGTGTGCTCAGCACCCCTTGGGTCAAAGAAAACGCAAATACTAAAAGAGTGTTTTAATATATATATATATGTATATATAAAATAAAATGAAATAAAATGAGCCACCTGTAACAGCAATTCGCTGAATGCTCCAAACCAAGCCTGGCAAGGAGGGTTTGTTTGCTCCCTGACGCCATCTCCTTTTGCTCTGCAGGCCCGGCAGCAGAGCACCGTTGAGAAGCCGATCCGCAAGCACCTGGCAACCCACGCTGCATGGCTTGCCCCGAAAGACTGCAGCCGGATGCCTCGTTCAGCTCGTCGATGCCCAACTCGAAGACGTCCGACAAATAAATCTGCAAGTCCTTCGAGCAGCACATGAGGCTGCGAATCAGTCCACCCCTACGGTCCTGCTGCAGCTCATTCTCCCGCTGCACCACCGACACATCCTCCTGAAGTAGCGAATACTGCGCCGTGGGCGCGATTTGCCCAAAGCCCACCTCACTGTTGACTTTGGCAGCAGCTGCGTTGAGGCGCAACCTCGCGCGCCAGACTCTGCTTGTAAGCAAGAAACAACCAGTGCATGCGGATGCCAAGCTCGAAGCCAAAGGTCTTGCAAGTGGTATGCCAGCCTTTCACAGCTGGAGAACCAAGCGCATCCATTAGTCTCTTTGTGTCTCTCTGTTTGCTGCCTGATTTGCTCTCTGCTTCAGAGTTTCTGAGTTCTGCACTGGCTGAAGTATGACCTCGGCGTCTGACAGGAGTCTTGCTGTTGTATTCTCGGTGGGCCCCTCAGACAACTTGAAGCCCCTACCTTCCGTGGACTACAGCGATACATACTGTCACATGCATTGCTCCTCAAGTGTCAAAAAGCGATTGCAAGCTCTAAGGTGTGGGCTCCGCAGCATGCCGCAGCACAAACCGGCGCATCGGCTGATCCTGGATCTTGTACACCTGTGCTTCGTGAGCAAGGTCAAGCTCAGATGAAAACCCCCTTGCTCCCTCGCCTGTCTCTCACGCTCCGCATGTCCTTCCCGCCTGAAGTGTGATCGTGCGGACTGTCGCCCGAACCATGTGATCCTTGTGACCTGGGCTACAAGTGTCAAAAAGCACCAGATCAAGACTAGGCCTGCCGCACCGACAAAACATAGCACATTCGCAGCACTCGAGTCGGTCTGATCTTCCTTTTTGTGCTGGCCGAAAACGTCTTCTAGATGCGCTCCAGAGTGTCAGAATTCAGGCTTTCTTGTGCCAAGCGTGGTCCTTGTTGAAATTCGGATGAATCTTGTAGGGCTTGCACTTCCAGTAACACGAGCGTCGCCAGCGGAAAGCATCATACTCGCAGTCCGCACGCCGACGCCTGTTCTCCTTGAGACGCTGGCAAACCATGAACTTCTTCTGGTAGACGCGGTCGCAATGTGACTTTCTGAGCGTTGGGAAGTTCAAGCCAGCCCTCTCATCGGGAATGGGTGGTGGGTACTGGTATGCTTCTTCGCCCACGGGAAACTTGTGACCATTGTCCTTGCGGTACAGGTACTCATCACGAGTGAACATCACCTCAGCATCGCCTCCCAGGTTGTTGGCGAGGTCTCGAGTAGGAGCTCGTGGGATCTCCGCTCTTGGCTTCTGGGCGGGAGGTGGAAAACCATCGGGGCTGGCGCCAGTCACCGTGAAGGCAGGCTGGCGCAGCCAGGCACAGGCAAAGGCCCCAACCACCATCGCCCCGATCGTTCGCCCGCGCTTCATGGCTGTAGCTACAGGACTCAAATATACGATATCAAGCTTAACACGGCCTATGTGGTCTGTTGAAAGCTTTCTTTGTTCAGGCATGAGAAGAAAGCTGCTTGCTTCAAACTTATGCAGCGGCAAGTGCATCCACTTTGGGCCAACATGCACGGTTCCGTCAGCAAACGGACATTCACATGGACATGCAATCTGTCGAGCAAAGCCGCTGAAGAAGTCCTTTAGACATGAATGTGTCCACCCGCGCGCTTCCTTTCTGTGCTGGCCGAAAACGTCTTCTAGATGCGCTCCAGAGTGTCAGAATTCAGGCTTTCTTGTGCCAAGCGTGGTCCTTGTTGAAATTCGGGTGAATCTTGTAGGGCTTGCACTTCCAGTAACACGAGCGTCGCCAGCGGAAAGCATCATACTCGCAGTCCGCACGCCGACGCCTGTTCTCCTTGAGACGCTGGCAAACCATGAACTTTTTCTGGTAGACGCGGTCGCAATGTGACTTTCTGAGCGTTGGGAAGTTCAAGCCAGCCCTCTCATCGGGAATGGGTGGTGGGTACTGGTATGCTTCTTCGCCCACGGGAAACTTGTGACCATTGTCCTTGCGGTACAGGTACTCATCACGAGTGAACATCACCTCAGCATCGCCTCCCAGGTTGTTGGCGAGGTCTCGAGTAGGAGCTCGTGGGATCTCCGCTCTTGGCTTCTGGGCGGGAGGTGGAAAACCATCGGGGCTGGCGCCAGTCACCGTGAAGGCAGGCTGGCGCAGCCAAGCACAGGCAAAGGCCCCAACCACCATCGCCCCGATCGTTCGCCCGCGCTTCATGGCCGACCCCCGGCTATGTGCTACGCGCACCTGGCCACTTCGCTTGCAGCCTCTGGGCAAAGTGCGGTCAAGGCTGAAAAATCAGAAGCAAACCTCCGCAACTGCAAACGCAATGCAACCGGGTCTGCCTCTGACTTTCAGACAGGCTAAGCGCCATGCTGAAGAACTTGGTAGCTTCGATGTAAAGCGGAAAGGCCGGCCTCACAAAAAGGGAAGATTGGTCAGCCAGGGGTTCCACGCCTCACTACAATGACGTCTGCAGGTGCAGCATGCAGTTTGGCATGTTCAAGCACAGCTTGGTGTTGTGCTCCGGGTGCTGGATGAAGAAGAACCTGCACAGGGGATGCAAGCTGAACGTTTGCCTCTGGTGCGAACAACCGGGAGCCCGGCTTGATGGATTCGCTGTCCAACCGCATTGCCAGTGACCTGTTCGAACAGCGGCGGGGCATCGTGAGACGAAGCGAGCAGCCGCGAATGACACGCTTGCGCTTTGCCCAGGTCTAAGCTCCAAACTTCATGAGCGTGATGTAGTATGCCAGCACTTCCTCATCGTCAAAGTCCATGTTGGTCGACTGGGCCACACCAAAGGTTCTGCAAACACGCGTCACTGCTTGCGAACTGAGTTTTCTCAAATGACTAGTTCTGGGAGCAGTACCATGAGCCTATTTACATGGTTGTTGCTCAGAATGTAGTACACGGACCTGGCTTGCGTGAGAAGATTATGATTCCCAATTCGAGTCAAGCCGATTGAAACTCCAAGATGCGCACGTTTGCCGATGAATGTTCTGAATTAACATGGAGAGCGTCTGCAGCAACTGCAGCTTCACCTCTCAGGAACGCGGCGGGTTGCTCAGCCAGCCAGCCAGCTGTCAACTCATGCCTTGGCTCGGCCCTGCCCTATGGTATGCTTTCAGTGCTGACATGCAAGACACGGATAGGCACACTGTAGCAGAAACATGAACAAGCCGCAAACAAACTTTACGTAACCGTCATGAAGCCTTGCCATGGTTGTGATTTCTTGCTGGCTGTTTTGGAAGCATTCGGTATGATGCTGCAGTCTTGTTGCCCCCTGCCACATTCGCAATCCTTCTGAGGGCAGGCCTTCTTCGAAGCTTTCCGCAGGCCGAGCACGTGAACCAAATCAGAAAAGATGCTCCTGAGGCGAGAAACCGGTGCCACCAAAGCAAGTGGTCTGCAAATCACGGCAGGAGTGACAATCACTGACCACTGCATTCCGTCAAAGGCACTTCTCACAAAAGAAGTCAAAGAATTGACCTGAGCTGGATTGAGCTTGACAGCGGGCAAAGCTGCTGGTAATATTGCAAGGTATGACAACCCTCGACAAATTTCATCTCAGAAGCTGTTGTTGGTCTGCTCTCCCCAAATCAGCGCCTTGCAAGACGAAGGTCTTGCAATATTGAGAGGGCTCCGACAAGCATCTTGTGCCAGCCATTTGACCCCGGGCACCTCTGTAATCTGCCTCACGGTCTCAATCAGCGCATCTCCTTCTCCACTCTTTTCGAGATCCTGAGACTCCAATCTGACCACATTGCCCGAGCGAAGCCAAGCGCGGAAGCCAAGCGCCAGGCACTCTCCCGAAACTGGGCCAGCCGATTGTAGAGCTGCTGCAGTCTTTCCTTTGCCAAGTTGCCCTCTCGCGCTCTCTAGACAAAGAGGCCCTTGCGAAGCTGTAGCTCGGCTGTGGGGCTGCAGGCCCGCGGGAAGATGCCCTCAGTGGGAGCTAGTGTGGGTTTGGAACCCGGCCTGCCCAAAGACTGAGCACCCTGCGATGCTTCGGAACCTCCGGAAGAAGTCCAACCTCAGCTGTTTTCCGAGCACGTTCTTTGTTTCAAGCACCTGCGCATCCGAGGCCTGCACCAAACAAGCCGGCAAAAAACGACCTGGAGACAGGCAACCGAGTCGAATCAGCTGCAGTGCTCTGCTGGGCTACTCCAGTGCTTGCTGCGAGCGGTCTTCTTCCATTCTCGCCAACTGTGAAGTTCCGATGATTGGCCCAGGAAATCAATGCACAACATCATTTCAAGGCCTGCGACTGTTCGCAGAAACTTCCTTGTATAGACCAGGTTTCACTCCTCGTGAAAATTTTGGCGAAGCCACGAACGCAAATGGCCTGGAAAAACTCGACTCAGCTCCTCTTTGGTGTCCACGACTAGGAGGTCAACCTTCGGCAGCACACCCGCCAGGCGTTCTGCCACTTCTGCGGGGTGTGTCTTGTCATCCCGAGCCGCACAAAGCAGCACGGGCATCTGCAGCTTTGCAGCCGCCAGATCATCTAAGGAAGGCAAGTCCGTGTACGCAGCGCCTTTCACCACTTCCGCCGCAGCGGGGTCGCTGGGCTCCAATTTTTCGGCGCTCTTCAGCAAGTAGGCGCGCCGTGCTGCTCGGATTTCCCAAGCGGTGGTCACAGAAAACAGCACCAAGCCTCGCACCGCCGTTGGACAAAGATGAGCCGCCCACAACGCAGTGGAAGCACCCATGCTGAAGCCTCCCAACAAGGCCCCCCGCTGCTTCCGGGCCGGAAGATGGCGGAAATGCGAGGCAACGGAGAGCATGTCAAAGGCCAGGTTGCGCCAATGAAACTGCGGGAGGCACGTGGCCATGGGCTCCCAGCCGGAGGATCTCCCATGACCCCGGGCGTCGAACAGCACCGTGTGGAACGGCATCGGGCCCGCCCCATCGGCTCCGGCCTGCATGACGGCCTCGCGGATCACGGGGAAGCTCTCGCAGGTGTTTCGGTTCATCGCCCGCGGGTCTGTGGGGCCCAAGCCATGCCCCCAAATCAGCTGGAAATCGCTGGGATCCCCCAGGATTTCACAAGGCAACACCGTGCCATCCAGCATCTGAACATCCTCATTGCAGGAAGCCATGCTACTCCAACTAGCACAGGCTTCAGCCACATGCCTGCAGTCTGAGCAGCAGCTGCTTGTTTGTACCCTATCACAAAATGAGCAAAATCGCAAATCGCAGTCTGAGGCGCGTGCATAGCTGCGGGTTAGCCTTACAAGCCTGCACCGATGCACGCTGGTGTGCATAGCAAGTGGCTCAATGCCCATCACGTGCTAAAAAGCAACACTGCATCAGTTTCCAGCCGACTCACCCAATTGCCAAGGCACGTGTATCCTAACCCTGATTGACCTGACCGGCCTAGTGCGGCCGCTAACAGGAATGCGGCCTTGGACCTGCCACAGGGGCGAATGGTACAACAGCCGTTTGTTGCCTTAAAGATTCCCCAATTAGTGCAAACACAAAGATCAAAGAGCATACAGTACAAAGCAAGTGCCAAACCGCTCTGACAGGTCATGTCTCATCTTCGGAGTAACCATTGAAGGGCATGGGCCAAGAAGCATCATTTATTTGGACTAGCTTAGCGCTGAACCGTCCAAAAAAAAAAGTTAAATGAAACCCAATCCAACCCTAAGTAGGTCAAAACCAGCCCAAACGCAACTCTGAACTGCCGTCACAACAGCGATGCTGTTTGTGCTGGCTCACATACGCCACACTGGTCCAAATGGCGCTGGTGATTGTACTGATGCAGCCTTTCTCCTACTCCACTCGCACCAGACCGACCAATGAACCCGTTCACCCATCCCAACCAATCAACCCAGCAACGAAGCAACCCCACCAATCAACCAACCAACCATCCAACCAACCAACCATCCAACCAACGAATCACCCATGCTTGCGCAAAAAAAAACAACAACTATGGGCCCCGCGATGAAACCCTTCACCGTAGCCTTGTCCAGGTATCATCACTCGTCATCACGTGGGCACAAGTTGCCACCGCTGTTACGAGCTCACTCGTTGCACAACCCATCTCACGTCGCTTTGAGCTGTGGTTTGCTATACTGAATGCAACCTGCTGACCTTTGACCACACGTGTCTGTCTTGCAAATGCTGTCCCGGACCAGAAGAAACATATCGCACAAGTCTGATCTAAAAGCGGCGTGACATGTCTTCCAACAACACAAGTCTATTGAATGCGACTGCCAACTTGTGCTGCAATGTTGCAAGCGTGCTGGAATTCATCTGCAAAGGAGGTTTGTTTCAATTTTTGCGTTAATTGTTTGCCCATGTCGAGCAAGCTCCCCATGCGGAACCCTGCAGCAGCCAGAGTGTACCCCGGCTAACCCCTAACCTAACCTCCGCCCCGGGGGGGGGGGTTCGGGTTCGGGTTCGGGTTCGGGTTCGGGTTTGGGTTCGGGTTCGGGTTCGGGTTCGGGTTCGGGGCCGGGTTCTTGGTGGGGGGGGGGGGGGGTTCGGGTTCGGGTTCGGGCTCTGGGCCGGGCCGCTTGGGGGGGGGTTCGGGTTCGGGTTCGGGTTCGGGTTCGTTCGGTTGGGTTTTTTTTTTCGGGGGGGGGGTGGGTTCGGGTTCGGGTTCGGGTTCGGGTTCGGGTTCGGGTTCGGGTTCGGGTTCGGGTTCGGGTTCGGGGGGTTGGGGGGGGGTTCGAGTTCGGGTTCGGGCCCTTTTTCTTTTTGGGGGGGGTTCGGGTTCGGGTTCGGGTTCGGGTTCGGGTTCGGGTTCGGGTTCGGGGTTCGGGTTCGGGTTCGGGTTCGGGTTCGGGTTCGGGTTTCGGGTTCGGGGTTCGGGGTTCGGGGTGGTTCGGGTCGGGGGTGGGGGGGGGAGGTTCGGTTCCGGGTTCGGGTTGGGGTTCGGGTTCGGGCCCTTTCTCTTTTTGGGGGGGGGGGGGGGTTCCGGGTTTTGGGTCGGGTTCGGGGGTTCGGTTTTTTTTCTTTTTTGTGGGGGGGGGGTTCGGGTTCGGGTTCGGGTTCGGGTTTCGAGTTCGAGTTCGGGTTCGGGCCCCTTTTTTTGTGGCCGGGAGGGGGGGGGGGGGGGGGTTCGGGTTCGGGTTCGGGTTCGGGTTCGGGTTTCGGGTTCGGGTTCGGGTTCGGGTTCGGGTTCGGGTTCGGGTTCGGGGTTCGGGTTCGGGTTCGGGTTCGGGTTCGGGTTCGGGTTCGGGTCGGGCGGGGTTGGGGGGGGGGGGAGGTTCGGGTTCGGGTTCGGGTTCGGGTTCGGGTTCGGGTTCGGGTTCGGGTTCGGGTTCGGGTTCGGGTTCGGGTTCGGGTTCGGGTTCGGGTTCGGGTTCGGGTTTCGGGTTCGGGTTCGGGTTCGGGTTCGGGTTCGGGTTCGGGTTCGGGTTCGGGTTCGGGTTCGGGTTCGGGTTCGGGTTCGGGTTCGGGTTCGGGTTCGGGTTCGGCCCCTCTTTTGTTTTTTTGTTTTTTTTGTTTTTTTTTTTGGGGGGGGGGGTTCGGGTTCGAGTTCGGGTTCGGGTTCGGGTTCGGGCCCCTTTTTTTTTAGGGGGGGGGGGGGTTCGGGTTCGGGTTCGGGTTCGGGTTCGGGTTCGGGCCCCTCTTTTTTTTAGGGGGGGGGGGTTCGGGTTCGGGTTCGGGTTCGGGTTCGGGTTCGGGTTCGGGTGGGGTACCTAATGGCAGCAGCGCAGTGCTGCACTGCACCTTGGGAAGAAATTGAATGAGCAATTCCTGGTTTGATGATTTGGGCATCGCAAGATCATGTCACACATACCAAAAACAAATATGCGCGCAAATTGATCGCAAAATGTTGTGCTGTCAGACTGCTCCAACAATCTGTCACCCCCAATCCACTTGTTCCCTGTTCCCATTTATTATTTTTTCCTCATTCACCTTTTTGCGACTGCTCAAGCGGTGAAACAAGCTTGCCACCTACGGGGAGCTTAGCAGGGACTTCCTTGGCACCAGGACAAGCACTGATGCGTGGGCCGGCACAAAAGGAGGGGGGCGGGGAACGTCACCGCAGACGTGTGACGAGGGGTGCCGGGCAAGCCGAGTCTGCAAGGAGCTCGCTCAGGTCAGGCCCATCGCTGCCAGCGCTGATGCGAAGCGTGAGGGAAGAAGAAACACTTAGACTACCAAAGTCTGAGCACAGTCAAGGAACATGCGGTTCAAAAGGTTGCTCGAAAAGGCGAGAGCTTTATGAGATCTATTCCACGGACAACCTATCTTAAGCATGTGCCATCCATTTGGGTCATTTTGCTGTAGAAACTGGTGTCAGGGAGGGTCTGTTTAGCAGCTGCTGTGAAATCGAGAACTCGCACCCGGCTATACAAAGTCCAGCCTGAGAACCTGCAAAAGTTTGCCCTGATTGATATTGTCAAACGCCTTCTCCCAATCCAGCAATCCAAACTGTGTTCGTTGAATCCACGCATCGCATCGATGAATCTATCCCAAAGCATACTGTTGGAACAGGGAGTTGCCTCAATTTCTGGGCGGGATTCTTGCCCCCATGGAACGCTGCACATCAACAAGAAAGCCACCTCAACTTTTTCGACCACTGTAACGTCACGATGTGTATCACAAATTTATGAGCCAATCATGTTTTAGTGACCTCGAAAATGCGCGGTGCCTATGCGATTCTGAATCAAGGAATGCATTTCGGCGCACATGATTGCCAAGGCTTTCAACACATAATCCCCATGGAACGCTCTTGATCCTTTGGCGATCTTCTGAAACCTAAACTTGCGACTGTGAGACACGGTTTGCGCCCAATTCTCCGCCCACTTCTCTGCCAGCCCGCGAGATCCAAACGAGACCCGGACGAGATCTAGGCGAGATCACTTGGCTCGGCAAAACCAACCCGAACTTGCCCTGTGCATCTACGGACCCCTTGCGAAGCCCTCGAAACCCTTGCACAACGCTGCTGAACCTTGCCTTAGAGGTGGCACTGGAACCCCTATCGCTTTCAGCTGTTGGGGGAAAACCTTGCGAAACACACTGCCGGGGAGTTTGAATTCTTGCCATTGGCACGACACAGATTGCCAACAAAATGTCTGCATTCGGCACGCAAATGCAGTTCCCCACCGACAAACCTGAGTTTTCATCACACATGAACTGTTTCCCCACGGTCAACGCAAGTTGATGCGAATTTCCCTGACACCTTCCCCCACTGCCACGCCGATGGCCACAAGCAGTTGATGCGACTTCCTGGGCTGACAGTACTTGTTAGGAGCTTGTAGAAACCTGAAGGAGCGCTATGGTTGCGCGGCGTCTCCTGTGCAATATAACGTAACAACATTTGGTTGTGGGAAGGCGGCAGGACGCGTGGCTGTTGTTTTTGTATTATTTAAAAGCTCCTTCGGCCAGAATCGCGCTGCACGTTGGTTTGCCCTTGCGCTTGAAGTTGGCGGACGTCTTCCGCCCGCACTTTGTTCAGCGACTAGCACGGGTGCGTGCGAGAAGCGTGCCGTCTCGAATGCGTGGCGCTGTCTCGGCCGCACTTGGCCGCCAGCGCATGCGCCTACGCCGCATGTCGCGCGTTTTTGCTTTTGTTTTTGGGAGGGTTTTTTCTCGCGCCGTTTTCCACCGCCATGGTTCTTCCCCCCAAGAAACCCTGCTTAAGCTTAAGCGCCAGGAGGGGACATTGTAGTAACTCGCTTTGCAACATCCCTCCTCCCTGTCGGGGCATGGCCTTTGCGAACAGTCGCTGGCCACAACCCGGTGCTGAGCACCAGTGGGAACGAGTGTTTTTTGTGTTTGATCTTTGTCAGGCAACCAACATTGTGTGAGCAGCTTTGCCTGGGCAACAGTCCAACTTGCGCTCAGTTCCGGCAAGGCGACCTGTCCCGCGCAAGACGGAACGCTCACACCCCCGGTGACGAGGCCACACTTGTCGCCTTGTCCGATCCGGCCCGCCGCCCGCCCTACCCTCAGCAGCTTCCGCCACAGCCGGTAGCCGCTGTCCGATTCTGTGGCGGATGCCCTCGAAAGCAGTGGATCCAAATGTGCTGCGAAGCCGGGGCGAGGGTGACCTGCAACACCTGGCAGACTTGAATCTTTATCGATCAGTCGATGTTATGGGGCGGGCAGCAGCTCGCCGCTGCTCGATGGTCCGCATCCCTGTCCCACGCAGCCATGTTGCGGCCTTGGCTACTCAAGCCATGCCAACGGTGTGCGTGAGGCGGTGAGGCGCCGCTTACCGGTAGCCCTGCACTTTCCACAGCCGGGGACCCGCGGCACCGCGGGTGCAGCACGAACTTTGGCCTGGGCGAGTTCGTGCAAAAAATTCCGAGCGACACCGTCAACCGTGAACAGCGACAGCTGCATTCTTCGTCCGAACAAACAACCGCCACATTGACATCACACACATTCACGGACCCGTGCTCCTGGCAGTAACAGCTCCTGCTCCGCGGCCGCTGCCCTCGCGTTCACCAAGGGCTGGACTTGTTCGCAGTCGCCTGGCCTCAGCAACCTTGATGGGTTTTTTCAAGTAACTCTTGCAAGATGAGCGCTAAACCCGAGGACGTTGGCGAGCTCGAAAACTCTCTCCACAGTCGGCTGCGCCGGGAAAGCTTGGAAAAGCCACTGCCCGCTGAGCAAAGTGGAAACTGGGGAGCCGCGCGCAAACGACGCCAAGCGGCGGATCACGTTGCGTGCTTCGGGGTCTAGTTTTGAAGCGCCAGTAGAGCTTGTAACATAAAGGTTGTCGCTGCTGACGACACATCGCCCACCCTTTGCGTCGCACTGGCGAGCTTCGCCCCTTCACCAGCGACATCGCAAGCTGGAATGCGCCTACTGAAATATGTGACGGTCATGTGTAGAAGTGGGGGGCCACCAGGGCGGCGGGAGAAACCATCGTGCCCGCTGCACACCACATGGGTTCCTGCTTCACCGGGCTCTGTTTTTGTGCAGGCGCGTGTGTTGGTGCAAGGCGCTTGAACGGAACGGTGCTGCAGCCAGCCGCGCAACATGTTTGCGCTTGAGGGCCAAGACTTGCCGACTAGAAGGCGGCAGATGCAATTCCCCTTCAGTGAGGCGGCACTCTCATGTCGAGGC